GCTACCGACACAGGCGCTGACGTGTTCACTGAACGCGCGGAAGAAGCTAGACAGCTCGCCCGCTTACGGATCCACCAGCGACAAGACTACGATGCAGGCCGCTACAATGCTCGCCATAGAACTGTAACGTACAAAATCGGTGACAGAGTGTGGGTCTGGACACCCGTACGAAAACGTGGACTGTCTGAGAAGCTGCTAAGGCGATATTTTGGGCCATACCGAGTATCGCGCCAGCTAAGTGACGTCACCTACGAGGTTGTCTCTGACAGTCCCCAATGCCCGAGGCGTCGCCAGCACCAGCCTGAACTTGTTCATGTAGTGCGTATGAAGCCGTACGTGAGTGACTGACTGCACGTTAAAAAAAATACTGTGCGTCTGCATCAGCATCGGGGCGATGCTCTTATAAGGAGGGGCAAGTGACACGTGTTTATATGAAAAAGAACGATGATAGGAATGTTTTGTAGATTCCAGCTAGTGGGTCAGGTGGTTTTTCGGGACGACAACGAAGCAGGCATCTTGCTGTACAGCTGATCCTGAATACGCTCTATTCGCTTCCGTAAGCTGCTGTCATCTTTTGTTCGCGTTGCACTGCGACAATATACTTCATCTACGCCCTGATTCCGCAGTGTTTGCATGACGGATGATATTTCTACTGAATCAAACGCCTTCTCGTAATCTATGAAGGCTATGTATAGTGGTTGGTTATACTCTGAGCATTTCTCTATTACCTGATTGATAGTATGAATGTGGTCAATTGTTGAGTAGCCTGTTCGAAATCCTGCTTGTTCCTTTGGTTGATCTGAATTCTAATGTTTTCTTTACTCTGTTAGCAATTACCTTTGTAAATAGCTTGTATACTACAGAGAGCAAGCTGATCGGCCTGTAATTCTTCAAGTCCTTGTAATCTCCTTTCTTATGTATTAAGATGATATTAGCGTTCTTCCAAGACTCTGGTACTCTTCCCGTCAGGAGACACCTCGTAAACAGGGTGGCTAGTTTTTCTAACACAATCTGTCCTCCATCTTTCAGCAGATCTGATGTTACCTGATCCTCACCAGCAGCTTTGCTCCTTTGCATGCTCTCCAAAGGTTTTCTGACATCTTCTATCATTACTGGTGAGGTGTAATCTTGGTTACTGCTAGTTCTTATAGTATTAAGGTCGTGGTTGTCTCGGCTACTGTACAGATCTCTGTAAAACTCCTCCGCTATTTTAACTATCCTATCCATATTGGTAGTTATTTTGCCTTCTTTGTCCCTTAGTGCATACATCCGACTTTTGCCTATCCCAAGTTTCCTCTTCAAGGCTTTGACACTTCCTCCGTTTTTCAGAGCATGTTCAATTCTCTCCATGTTATACCTTCTTACATCGCGTACCTTACGTCTATTAATCAACTTCGAAAGCTCTGCCAGTTCTATTTTGTCTGTTGTACTTGACACTTTCATGATTTGACGCTTCTTAATTGGGTTCTTCGTTTGTGACTAATCAATAAATATGCGTGGACACATATTTTAGGGAGACAGGCATATGCGGAAAGGAGTAATTTGTGCAGGAACTTCACTCTAATGAAGTGATGAAGTGCACTGGAATCCTCATTTACATGGTAATTGTTGAGTTACCTCGGCTTCATCTCTGGTGGAATACTTTAGTCATTTTCAGGCCTCATTTCTCCAATATTATGCCCAAAAGACTCCCCCCCTTTTCTTCGTTTCTTGCCTTTCTAAGTGTCACAGACTCGGAGCAGACAAACCCCCGTGTCTGCAATGGCAAGCCGCACAGGATAACCCATCTATGGCAGCACCCTCATTAATTCTTTTTGTGTGTGTGTGGTAAGAACAGTTTTTAGCAATAGTTTTTGAAACTTGGTACAACCTTTTTTGCAACATAAGAAGCTACAAATTCAATTTCTTGAATTATTTTTAACCTCATAATTTCTTAAGTTCTCGTTTCTGAAATGTTAATTGCATAATCACTGTATAAATTTTTCATTATAAGCATTCTTTACTGAATATGTGTAATAAATAGATATGCGTCAGTTTTTGTTATTGGACAGACAACTCTTTTAGCTCCAGTTTAGTACCAAAGAATGGCATTAGGTCCGTTCGATTCACCTGCACCGGTCGGAACCAGTTCACGGCTGTGCACGTGAAGTTCAGAAATTGTGCAGCGCGAGTTCAGCGGTGCAGGCACAGCACGACACCCGAAACAAATGACGATAGTGCCGACAAGGTGTTGGCCTTATTTCTTTCCGGTTAATTTACACCATTCAGCAAACACCGACCTATGGCGAAACGCACATGCGGACAGTTTATGAGGCACAAACATCTTGGCAAAACACACCGCATTTGTAGAGGTGGGTACGGCGCCTAAGCCACCTACGTCTAAGTGCTGCGTCGTCTGCTCAGCTGCACGCGCGCCTGCACCAAGCCAACACCGTCAGCGAAGGAGGTGCAGGAAAATTGTGAACCGGTGCTGCACCTCTTCTGCACCTTTCGAAACGAATGGCAGGGTTCAGTGGTCGTCAATGCTGCACCGCTGAAACGAATGGTAAGGTGCAGCACCTCGTGAACTGGTTCACGTGCCGGCGAATCGAACGGACCTATTATTATCTAGCCGCAAAAAAATTGTTTTTCACGCCTAGTGAAAATGGCCACCCTTTGCCGCAGTAGCGAAAGAGCTACAAGAGGCGCAGTAATATAAAGCACCACTGCGCAAACACGGAGAAGAAAGTTCTCAGGGGCTTCCCAAACCTCACCGAGCTGGCCCGTTATGATGCGTGACAACTCGTGTGCCGCCACGGTCCGGAGGGGCATCAAGGGACTCGGCAGAATGATCCATTTATCCCATTTAATGAAATTATGCAACATTAACAACTTGGCACGAAAGTCCGCCATCTTCTCACCCGAAGCCCAGGAGAGTTCCTGTCAGCTACTTTAACAAAGCTTCAGACAGGGTCTTCCTCGTTGTAGGGCTTTCTCAGTAAGATATACTCGGGACACTCACCCTGGTTGCTCCTTCTGTAGTGAAGCCTTCTGTTCTATGGCTTACATGCTCTGGAGATGTCTCAAGTTTCCTAACAATCTTTGCTCCAATGAAGCCAAATGTGAGGGATTCCATTATAAGCATGGCACGCCAAAAAACAAGGCCATGCTATCTAGAGGGCCCAGGAAAAGGTGGTGCGTCACGGTGCTCTGTTCTCTATGTGAGTGTGGCTACTGGCGGTTACAATGGCCCCCTGTGAGGAGGGGGGGGAGGGGGGGGTCCTGTCCGTGACTCCTCGGGATCAAATAAGGTTCGTTGCCTGTCTGTCTCAGATAAACCTTTACAAGCAATGTCCTGAAAGTCAGTGCTATACACATCTGTACAACTGTGCGAACCACTTGCCCTTCCATACACCAATTGGTTTAATGTAAAAATATACCGCTTCGACGAAGGGTGGCAGGGGATAGCGGTTAAGCCCCTCTTCCCCCAGCTCACCCGAAGGAAACTGCCAAACTTCAAATAAAGTTTATTCATTTACTGTAAATTCCAGAATAACCATTTAATTGATTTAATTTATTTAATTTTTAATATCTTAATTTATAATTGATTGACCCTTCGTTCCTTAGTTTACTATTCTTGAGTATTTAAAAAGTGTTATTGCTGTCTTTGATCTTGTATGAGTATTATCTCATGTTCATGCATGTTCATTATGTTCTCTATTATTACTTTTGTTTTGTTCTGATTTTTTTTAACTTACCTTATTTCATTGTGGTTTCTGTGAATGTATTTATTTATGTGCTGCCCTCCTGCATGGACCGAATTAAGGTCTGCAGTATTGTGTAAATAAAAAATGAATAAATAACAGATCAAATTTTACTGTCCTTACTTCGCTATGGCACTTCAAAATAATGAATAGCAATTTCAAAAAGTTAATCGATCAGTGTGCAAAACAATTCCTAGCTCTTATTGTGCTACTATCATCATCGTCAGAATGCTCGTATATTTTTATGATGGTATTTCTTTATGCACATACGCTATTCAAATGAGCGATAGCCCTATTGCCCCACCATAGCTGTGCTTGTTTCGTCAGGCAGCTCTGCATGCACACTTGTTACATGACTTTTTTTCTCGCCTATGGACTAGTTGTACGTTCACGATGAGCTATAGAGCAGCACGAAAGGAGCACGGCAAAAGAGAAAAAAGGCATAGCGCATGTTCTATGGAATGAAAGAGTTGAAGATAGCCTGTGCTTGCCTCACTAACTTTTGAACAATATGCACAGCGTGATGACGAAGTATGCTGATCGGTTTAGCATACTGATAAGATCCATACCAATTGTCAGGATAAGGAAACGGTAGGTGAAGACGATGCTGAAACAGCATACGCAAACCCATGCGAGAAATCAGTAGCAACACTGATGCTTTTAAGAAGGATTTTCTGGCAGTAGTCAAGATGCACCCATCAGGCAAACATCACACTCTTTCTCAAATAAATGTGCACTAATTCAATAATATTTCATGTTTGTTTTTTGGCGATTATTAGAGCACAATGCAATCTCAGATGTATACCCAGCACAGGGAGGTGACTCACGCTGCATTTACGATTTTTGCACAAATTATTGCTATTTACACTACAACAGCTTCTCAATATAAAGAATGATTCTTAGCGGTCCTTGAAATTCATAAGAGATTTCACTGTACTTAAACTTCCAATAACAGCTTCAAAACAGAGACTGGCTTTCTTGTGCTATGTGCATGTGGTTTTGTCAGCTACAAATGGTGGTTTTGGACAGCTTCTAAAGGCTGAACTAGTGACTTGTTGGCTGTACTAGACACTATGGCACTGTACTACCCCAATTCCTAATTGAAGCACAAGACAGCTACCACCCCTTTGGTGGTGGGGGAGGGAGGCATAGATACTGACAGCTGCCAAAATCATCACTTCGAGCATTGAAGAACTCAGAGAGAGGAAGTGCCCAGGGTGCATGGCTATATGCAAGCACACATCAGCTGTGACTCACCCATAGTGCTGGGACACTTGGTGAAGGATTTCAAGTGCCTTTGGCGGTCCCTGTGGCGGTGCTACAGGAGGTCCTGGTGCTTGCGGAGGAACCTCGGGGGGAGGAACATGAAAACGCAGGTAGGGAGACGCTCCGTATGGTGTAGGACAGGCTCCGGTACACCGGCTCAAAGGCCATGTGTGGCGTGAAGGGCGATTGCAGGTAGCTCGGATGCAAATAGGCGTAGTTGGCCGGCGGTGGCGGTCCCGTTGTCTCCATGGTGGGCTTCTGGCCACCTGTGTCTTTCTCCTTGTGTTCTTTGGGTGCGCGTGACGGTTTGTGCGTCACACTCTTTGGAGGGTGAACAACCTCCTTGGGAACAATTTCTGCAGGAGGGGCAGGAGGGGGTGCAGCCTGATCAGGGCGGAGATAGAATAACCGCTGCTCATACAGCGAATCATAGGGGCCGAACTTGGTCTCTGGCTTGGGTTCCTCCTTGCACTCAAGGTCCTTGGTCAATGCAGGGGGTGGCTCGGGAGAGGGTCGGCGGGGTGTCATGGATGGCCTCGATGGTGGGGGAGCCTTCTCAGGTGGTGGAGCCTTATCTGTGGTAGGTTCCTTGCTCGAAGCAGTGGTGCCTTTGTCCTCCTTGAAGGGCGGGTCCACTATATGTACACGGTAAGGGTCGTAAGAAAATGCTGGAGCACCTTGAACAAAGGGGCTAGCTGCACACAGGGAATAAGGAGGAAATTGAGGAAAGTCTGTGTCTGGCTTTTTCCCTTCCTGGGGGCGGGAGGAGCCAACTTCCTTGGTTGCTTTGTCTCGACTGACAACATCCTTTTTAGAGTCCTCATCAACAGACGATCCTGGTCCAGCTATAGACACAGGCTTTCCCTCGGGTGCCTGCACCCCAGGGAGAAGGTATGGGGGCTGCCCAAAGTAAGGGTACACACCATAGAGTTCAGATGGTGTGCGAGGAGGCTCTTTATCCTTTGCTGCTTCTAACAAAGGAGCAGCATCATCGGATATGTCAGAATACGCTGGACTCTGAACGCTCTCCTCCAGATGTGGTGGGGCTTGCTCTTGTGGTGGTCCAGACTCGGCGAGGGAAGGCGGAGCACCTTCTAACCCGACCTCATCCTGCATAACCACTGAGCCATTGCCGTCTGGCTTGCGGCTCTTGCTTTTTTTGTGAGGCCTCTTGTGGGGCCGGTTGGGGTCCGAGTGCAGAGCAGGAGTCTCCACAGTCGTCGCGAGCACTTTCGCTGGACTCGGAGGTGCCACATTCACATGGGGTGACTCGGGGGAACATGGGGCTGCGGGACCACACACAACAGAAGGGCGTGGGGGTGTGGAAGCTCGTGGCACACTCGCAGGCACAAATGAAAACACTTGCGATGTTGGGATGCTGACAGTGACAGACACGGGAGAAGTGGGGGGCATGGGGGGTGCGGGGGAGGATGTTGCCGACACTGATGTTGTTGGTGTCGGTGTAGATGCTGCAACTGTGGTAGCAACTGCTGTAGCGGCTGTTGCTGCTGCTGGCACCTGGACCACTGCAGGTGCAGGAGGTGCTTCCTCTGCTGGAGGTGCCAGATCGGGGCTAGGTGGCCTGCTGCATTCTTCTCCCCCATCGGACGTCTCCTCCTCACCCCCCTTTGCATCCCCACACCCATGCGCATGACTTTGGTGGTAGCGCAGACCGTTGATGTGTTTGTACTTCTTGCCGCAGTTGGGCTCCGGGCACAGGATGAGGGCCGGGGAGCAGGGAGCCTCGGGAGTAGGTGTACTCCGCGCTCGGGCCCTTTTCTTGTCAGGAGGACTCAGCTCCAACTCCGGTGGCTTGCTCCTGCGGCGACCCTCATTCTTGGCAGGACTGCAGGGGACTGCAAATCGGCGCCCTTTCCCGTTGCGAAGCTTTCCCTGGACAGGAGCTGCGCGGGCCGATGCTTCGGCGTCACCCCGAGCCCTCTTTGGACGTCCCCCCTTTGGGAGGCCACCCTTAGCATCCAAGTCGCTAGTGGGAGACTCACAAAACCGTGGAGGGGCCCAGTCGTGCCTTGTGCAGTCCAGCAGGGTGCCCACGTATGTCTTGCCTCGCCATGTCACGTTCACCACCAGCACTCCTGCAGAAACCAAAATATCGATATAGCTTTTCTACAGGACACCTTCTAAGCTACTATCACGTGGCATGCCAACGTTGCGGCATGTCACTTTGGTTTACGTGCCTTGACTAACGATAGGCAGCATTTTCTGACCATGCTGAAGAAGTGTTACCGGGCCCCTTTAAGGGGGGACGCGGCTTTGGAATCGCGAAAAATGGCAAAAAAATGATTTTTTGAAACTCAAGTTTTCAGTTTCTGGAACCCTTTTTCTATCTGGTTCCAAAATATCTGCACAGAAAACTGCGCAGAAGTGCTTCGGAGAATTCGTTTCACCCACCTAGGTAGCAAAACTTTTTCTGGAGATAGCGAGAGAAACAGCGATTTTCAAAAAATTATAGCTTTGCGATGCTTGGGCCGGGAGCCGGCTTTTGGGCTCATCGGTAAGAGCATTTCTCCGTGTTTAACTTTCCCGCCTCAGCTGGCTCCTCCCTTTAGCAACAAGTGCACAAAAAGCAAATGTTTGAAGGTCGTTTTGAGGCCCTTGATTGGCTGTGGCCCCCATGTTGCCTCAGCTCGCCTCGGCATTGGCCCGACGCTCGCTCCGGGCTCTTGAAAATCGCTACTTGTGACGTGTTCACAGCTTGATGATCACTTAAGATATAATTACCCTTTAGTTACGAGCAGTAAGCGTATGCGCGATCACGTTACTACGAGTTGGCGCGCGGTCTACGAGCGCTGCGCGTCATCGAAGTCGTCTTTAGCCCTAACTCCGCTGACAGCGAGACTGCGGGCAGGAACGACGCGCAAGCGCACTCTTGGCAACGTGCTTCTTCGCAAGGAATGTAGCACATCACTCGCTAGCTCCTCTGAATTACGTACGGGCATTTTACGCATCGGCAGCGGACAACACAGTCAAGCTCGTCACCCCCCCCCCCCCCCCCCCCTTCACTGCCAGGGATTGCTCGGAACAGCGGCTAGCAGTTTCGCGCGTCATGCGATGCCAAGGCGATGCCAAATGCGATGCCAAGCACAGTGCGCGCGCCGATTTTTTGTCATCGTAGTTACACATTTCGCGCATCGTCACCAAACGCCGTCGGCAAGTGCATTACGCGCCGTCTGCACTATCTACGCGGCCACGCACCCCACGATTATATGGAATGCTGTCAATAAGCTTTTGTGATGCGATTCAGACGTGCTTGGAGCCGTGCTTGATATCGCTACCCACAACGTCTATGAATGTTCAGAGGTTAATGAATTGCTGTAGATTAGAGTTTCCGTGCCCGGCTGTATGATGATGCGTTTCACGGCTGATTGATTGATTGATTGATATGTGGGGTTTAACGTCCCAAAACCACCACATGATTATGAGAGACGCCGTAGTGGAGGGCTCTCGAAATTTAGACCACCTGGGGTTCTTCAACGTGCACCCAAATCTGATGCGTTTCACGGCTAGAGCAGCAAAAGAGCATGTATGAATCAGGGGCATGAATTTTTATATGCCTGTTTTGCGTCATGAATTATACTGCTAAAAATTCCTGTGCCACCAGTCTTCTGCCCATAACTTTGTTATTTGGAAAGAAGGCATAGGCCGTCATGGCGTGATCCATTTTTCTGATGCAATAAACCTCTCTCCAAATAAAAAAAAGTTCAGTGAATATTTCTAATCAAGTACTTAATTATGCTAATTACAACTTCAGCAAAAAAATATGTGTAGTTATTTCAGTATATGGTTTACAATTACAATCTTTTCTGTCATATCTATCACACCACTCCTTAAAGAACTTGGTTTGAAATCCATACTTGTTCTTTGTATATCATGAAAAAGAGTAAATCATGAAAAGTCAAATATCACAAGACAAACCTGAGATCACAATTTTTAGGTGTCTTAGAGGCGTAAAGAAAAGTTGAAACTTTAAACGCAGCTTTCTCAATACTGTTTTTTTGACATTATGCTCAGCCCCTCCACATGATTCAATGAAGAAATAATTTGTCTCTCGTAAAGTAGTTGTGGTATCGCTTCAAAATTTTTATGGAAGCACTGTGAGGTCATTCTTAGTGTCTGTGCCAATTTTCATCAATACCCAAGGAGAAACAAAAAGTTCATCAAAAAAAGCCTGTCGAAAAGTTCGACAGGCTTTATCTCACAAGTGTGTTTTGGACATTTTGCATTGCTCGTGGAAAGAGTAGGACGGGAATGACTGGACCGATTTTGATTCTGCTTTTTTTTTTCCCGAATCCCTGAACACTGCTTGTGGGTACACCAATCTTCAATATCTGTTTTATGGCCCCCCCCTTTTTTTTAGGCGATGATTTGCCCGTGCCACTGTTTCTGACAATGTGTGTCGGCAGCCATGATGATCTCTAAAAAAAAGAGAACTTATTAAAGAATTCTGAGAGTGCCATACCCTGTAGCTTTCTTTTGAGTAAAGATCAACACCATTTCGCAGCTTCCTGGCATGTTTTGTTACAGCGATAGGCTTTCCGCGAGCAGACCATGTAATTGGACCATGTAGCATTTTGTAACTTGAGAACTACTGAAGGTATCATGATAAAACTGCATATTTCCCTATTCGAGACACTTATGACTATGCATGCCAAATTTCATTGCTGTAGGTCAACAAATAAAGTTTTTTTTCCAATGCCACCTCCCCCCTTAAATGAAACGGAATCGCTATGCAAAAAAGCAATGCTGCATGCTGATGCGTGAACTAAATGCTATGACCAAGTTTATCCTCTCAGCTTGAAAAGTGACATAACACGATGATGCCATGATGATGACAGCACAACATCACTGCAACTCTGCACCCCCAACACTGAGCCCAAGGCAAGGGCCAATGCAGCTTCATTTTTTGCCTGTTTCAGCTAAGGTGATCAACACAGGCTCCAAGACAGACGTGACAGATGTAACAAAGGCTCAATTTGGGGCCCAAACAGCCCCTAACTCCCACATAATAGAAGACACAGGCAGGTGGTTACACAACAATGGGAGAGGGGGTGTCTCACCGCCTTCAGTCTCCTGCCAGACAATGCCCTCGAGGGTGACACTGGTTCCGGGCTCACAGGGCCCCAGACAATCGGGCTCGGTGATGGTTCCCACCGACGTGCACAGCACGCCGCTGTCTTTTCGCTCTACACTGGTACTTGCCGCCACAACCTTTGCAGGACTGCCCGGGCACTCCACCTGCAGCACAGTGTCAGAAGGACATCGCTTCGTGAGTTACAACAGCCATTCCAAGTGGCTGTGATAAGTGAGCTTACCCAGACCAAGCTGCCATGAACATCACAGGCAAATACAGACCAAAAACAGTAGAGAACATGTAATCTCACTCAGAAGGTGGCTTCCCTGTTCCTTCAGCTGCTTGAAATTCCTTCCATCTTTCAGGTGACTTCGTGTCTGTGCGCCGGAAAGGCTTACCAGCAGGGCAGACTCCTTCAGACGGTCAGGTAGCCTAACTCCAATTTAACGGAGTTGTGTCACAGTGGCATTTTCTAATCCAATATTAATTGAAAAGTTGCCATAACCGATAGACATGCAGTTTCAAGCTTGGGCATCAATATATATAAATGAATAGTAGAACGTTGGGCTTCTTTTCACGGTCCTTAACAAATAGCTGGTGCAAGCAGAGAGATTGAGAAAAGGAAGGCCAAATTAAACAGGTGCCAACTCGCAACTAACTGAAGATGAAGAGCAGTGCAAAGAAAGCTTTTCTTGCATTCATTTACTGCAGTATTAAGTCATTTGTCACTAGTGTCTTTGAGCCTATCCTGAAAGTATGTGTTCAAGCATGCACCTTCGGACATGACACAAAGGCGACGAGAGTGGGGAATAAGTGTATCTGTGAAAACAATGTACGGTGCTCACAGAGTGAAACGTCTCAGTTTAGGTTAAGTAATGCACATACGCTTATCTGCACAGTCCTCACTTTTCATCAATCTGTCGTAGTACTGCCTCGTACACTTACATCAGAGCCAAAATGATCACTTGTTATATATTAGGGCAACATGACGTGGTCATCTCAAGCAATCACACGTAGAAGCAGCTATACAAAAAGTTATGATGTCATGCTTCATTCAGTGTGCACTGTCCATTTCTCAATGCATGAGATCTGAGCACCATCTGCATCTCAAAAATTGCATGAGCAATTATGTTCCATGCATTTCGAATAGAGGAGAGTATTGATAAAGCTTTGCAAATGTTCTGCTGCTAAGTGCCACCTAAATCTGCCTTTTCCATAATGCGTTGGCACATGTGCCCTTCCCTAGCACGTGTGCCCTTCCCTAGCAGACTAGAGTTGCAAAACGACCCCAGTCTCGGAGGCCTTCGTTCTAGCAATGCCAGATTTACCGGCCCCTACTAAACCCTGCCAGAACACCAGAGGCGAGCACAGGAAAATGGAAAAGCCAGATTCTGCTCACACAAAAATTTGTTTTGTTGTCACTACTACCATGAAAGAGTTCAAATTTCTGGTCACGTTACAGTTGTATAACCATTGCCAAGTGAAGTAGACATACAAATTATATGATATCGACAGTGTTTACAGCAATCAGTCGCATCATTGTTGAACTGCCAACTATTCACTAGCAGAGCCAGCTCAAAATGCCAAGAGCCCTGCAGCCAGAGCAGAGAAGGTAACAAAGAACTGAAAAAAGCAAGAAAAAAGGGACAAGTACAAACCACAAAGCAAAGCAGACGAAAACACTTTTTGCCCTCACAGGCTTAGTGTTGGGATGCGAATCTAGTTAGTTAATAAATAAACCAAGCCTCAAGGTAAGGAACTCCTCTAATCTCAGCATTTACTGCACAGAATGGGAAGCATCACATGGTTGCCCACACCTTCTTGTTTAGAGCGGTATAAAACTCTGTGCTATCACACATTACATGCACAAATAACCAAACATAGAGAAAGCATACATGCTTGCATGCTGTTGATTGTGGGCAGTTAATTAAAATACAACTGCACATGACAAAATCATTATATCAATTTAGTATAGACATTGCTTAACCGATAGCTTTTAAGGCAATATATAAAAAAAAATACTGCCTGCAACATTATAAACTAGCTTCAGTGACAATCGCCGCATGCATGCATGCCAACAAAAGAAACAGCTAAAGCAGCTCCTCAAACGAAGGCATTTACACACAAGTGGCAACATTCCTCTCATCAAAGGCCGTTGCTGCAGTTGCCTCATCGATTTGCGAGAGAGAGAGAGAGAGAGAGATGCCAGGAGTCAAACCTTTATCGCTCGCTTTGTTGCATCAGCAGCAGTGGCAGCTTCCTCTGGTGTTGGCAAGGTCGCAGAGCCCGCAGGCATGCTGCCACCTTCCTCTGGGGGTGATGATGGCACACCGTTTGCAGCCGTCTGCTCCATGGGGGCGGGCAGAACGGCAGGGGTGGTTGGAGGTGCCTGGGATGATGGAGGAACAGCGGGGGCAGGAGGAGGGGACAGAGATGGGGGAGGGAGAGGAAGGGGAGCTCCCAGAGAACACTGGAGGCGTGGTGGAGAAGCCCCGTTTTCGATGCGCTTCTTCTTGTGAGATCCACTGCGGCCACTGCTCTTGGATGACGATGATGACGACGACGAGGACGACACAGACGATGACGAGTGCTTTGTGCTTGGCAGTGGTGCCAAAGGTGGTGGAGATGCACCAGTGTCTTGCGCCTTTACTATTTCGTGCTTGGCCAAGTTCTTCCGCTTGATCTTCATCTTAAGACCCTTGTCCACGGTTGCCTGGGGCGGAGATCAACAGTCAGCAGGGCAGCCAACCTGCCGATGGACTATTGCGTGAGACTTTTGGGTACTCTGTCAATGCACTTGACACTAATGCAACCCGAGATCGACACAAATTTGAAATTTCCCAATTCTTAACCATCCACCTTGGGTGGCACAGGCTCCTTTCAGTGGACATCAATGCAATATTATTGGTTGTGTCTGGTATACGAACAACCATAGCAGCGGGGATTGTCTAAGAAGCTCTGTAAGTGCCTATGAGTACAGCAGTGAAGGACTTAAAAGACACATGTCATAGAAGTGTTCCACTAGTCCATGTATTCACACATTAACAAACTTTTGCAGCATCTGCCCAATCAGCAGTATGAACGACCATGGCTTTGATTGAACGTCAAGATTCGTTCTGAGCAGACATGCGCAGTCGATGACATTGAGTAGCCTGGCCCAATTCAACCTGCATTGTGCGCGGTGATGACTCAGCAAAAGCAGTCTCATTTGGTATCACAATTTATAGTCCCAACAGCTCTATTGAGTTTATAACACGATGTAAAAAAACTTGGCGTTCTGTAATATTTTCTGAAAATTCCATGCACAAGTGTCTAGAGCCCTGCCACTACTGTGACGGTTAGGCATTTGAGTCTGGGACATATCATGATCAAAAATCAGGTGAAGAGGACATAAGCACATACCTGGTGCTCGACGGGCGGGGAGGCCGCGGCCGAGGAGGAGGCCATGGGGTCGTTACTCTTCTCTATGTCGGCGTCCAGGTCGATGATGAGATCCCCAATGCCCAGCTCCCACTCGTTGTAGTCGTCATCGAAGCCGCCGCCGCCAGAGGGCACCGCCGCCCCGGTCAAGGCCCCCTGGTGGCTACTGCCCGGCTGGCCATCCACCGCCGACGACGCACAGCAGGCCCCCGGGGGAGGGTCTTTCATTGGGTGCCACTCGACCGGCTACGCATCCCGCCTCTGCACGATAAAACACACACTGTACTGCCAATGCTAAAATCATGTATACCAAGGGCCAAATACATGATAGATGGGCCCTGATATGTTCTCTTAAACTTCAAAGGGCAGTTAAGGTATAACATTATAAAATCATTGAAGCAAAGCACCTTAAAGGGGCCCTGCAACAATTTTTGAGCATGGTCAGAAAATGCTGGCAATCGGTAGTAGAGGCTCCCGACAACACGCGAGCTAAATATTATAGCATAACACGCGGCCTGAAATTCACAATAAATTACCAAAGTCAGCTAAAAATTGATTTCTCTTCTCTCGAAAAATGACGGAATATGCCCAAAAATCACACATGAATTACCCATCTATCAGCCATTGGCTGATTTGAACATGGCGTGCTCTCTCGTTACAGACATCGTCGCAGGAGGCAGTCACTTGCCCACACGTTCGCACTAAAGAAGCCACGTATTCGAAGAAAAAAAAAGAAATAAGCGCCCTCATGGAAGGCCACCTAAACCTGCTGGTTTCTTATAATAAAGTTTATTCCTCTTCCTCTTTCTTCTCAAGGTCACAAGGCATGCCTGACGTTTTTGTTTGCCCCTCCCACACCTCCCTGCTTAGCTACCAGGGCTTACGTCGGGACGAAAGAAGAGAGAATGCAATTGCAGCATGCAACAAACCTTTGCAGCTCCGCTCGCACTGGACGGATTTTTAAAACTTTTGCGGCGTTGAATTCGTTAGCCAATAAGCTTTTCCAGTGAATTAATTCCATGGTTACCCAAAAAGTGTTTCAGGGCCCCTTTAAATCAAGAGAGTTCAGAGTACTCAAATACTGCTCTCCTTGTTAGCACTGCTTCTCCTCAACTTGTTTGCTATGCTAGCCGTGCAGCCAGGTTTGCTGGGGATCAGTGGACAGAGTTGCAGCCTTTGACGCAGCAAGGGTGATCCTTGGTGCTTGAGAAAAAATACCTCAAGCTGGTAACGGAGTGCAAATAAACATTGAGCATGCTGTAGCATTTGCAAGGGACGCTCACTGTCCACTGGAACTTTCTAAGAATAGTAGGAAATTGTGAGTGTGTGAATGCAATAAATTGAAATAGGTTTCAACAATCACCTACAACATTTGTGGACAATTAAGTCAGAAAAATAACATGTGACAACAGAGGAGCAACCAGATTAGTTGCCCATACAACATAGTTTGCCTATACAATATGCATAGGCAGGGATGGCTGAACCTCCTTAGCAACACTGCTATGACCAGTAGCAACAAGCATTTATTTAAAAACAACTTATGCACCTTATGCAAGGTGCTTAAGCTGCTCTGTGAATGACTTAAAAGACTTGCAACTCAATGTAAATGTACAAAATTGTCAAGATAGTTTCGTGGACTTGCTCAAAGGAGTGATGAACCACCTTTTATTCTTGGCACGAAGAACACCTTAGAATCAGTTGGATACCTCCAAAGAATACATCATAGCTGAAAGAAATTTTTAAAAACTAAAGTATGACCAGAGATAAAGCAAATATTTTGCGACACTCCCCCCCCCCCCCCCCCCTCATCTCGCTTCATTCCACAGGAAAGGACAGCACCGTTCACTGCACCCTGCCTAGTGCATTATTACAATACCTTGCTTCAATGTTGTGTGGTTTTCCTCCTTTCTGCGTAACTTGACAGTGTTGACCGCTTCTCGCTATGCTGCAGCTGAGCGGCCTGACACGGTGTATCTCCATTTAAGGAAACTGAATGACATTTTGACTGAGCGCATTGCTGAAGTCACTGCAAGTCGCCATTATATACCAGAAGCGGCTGTTGGCGGGCCAGCATTTCTTTTCTGCAGTTTGAAACAATGCCTGCCTGTAGCGCTATAACATGCTCAAGCTGACTAGAAGCTAGTGTAGCACACGGTGCGAGGAAGCTGGAACATCCATTTTGGGCCGAAATCAGGTGTTTAAATCGCTTTTATAAATTCTGGTCACGACCAGATCATTATTTTGACTAAAACACATGCACAGCAAAATAAAAAAAGTGAATGAAGCTCGAACCCACTCGATCAACGCCCCCTTCAATGTGAAGCTGACACGCAACCGTTACACTACGCTTCAAGGATGAAGTGTGTTGCTTTTACTGTGTACTAGATTCCGGTGGCCTGTATTTTCGCCACCTCGTTTAGAAATGCAGGTTTCCATCTCTCAGTGCTCGCGACAACCTAAGAGAGGATAATTAATTAATTTGTTATGTGCTGCCCAGAAACAGATCGTCTATCTGGCACGTTTTTGCTTAAAAACATTAACGCAACTGCACATGTGAGCTACATTAAACTTCCAATCAAACTTCTATGGGCACATGCTCTAACATACGCTGGTATGCCGAGTTTAACAGACAACAGTTGACTTCCTTCCGAAAGCGATTCATCTTTCTGAAAAGTTGCAACGAAGCTTTCCTATATTTTAGTCCCGTTTATTTAGCTACAACTGCATACTATATAAAGTAATATATAAAGTGAAAACAGGAACAAGCACATCTGATCTAAACAGCGCTATTGACTTATGACGGGTATTGGCCAATAATCTTTTGCAACGTCGAATTACAAAAACGCAAAAGGTTATTCGCACCATTACCCCCCCCCCCTCCCTTATTCTGTGTGTTTTAGACTCCTATTTTCATATTACAATGCATGTATTTTAGACTCCTATTTTCATCTTACAATTCAATTTCATGCCATCTTCTAAGAATTTATTTCCTTAATACAAACTATACCACTCCAACACCCCGAAGTATTCCTCTACTACACTATTCATACTCACTCTGCATTATAAAGCTTGCTCCCACCTAAACCTTATAAACAACTCACCTATTCATGTTACTAACAATTACTTGGTCTATAGGTTTCAATGAAATGTGTGAATACTTTGCCTGTTTAAACATGTTTGGCATCACTGATAATGTCCTTTTAGAAACAATACATCTCAAATAATACTAGACAATAATTACAAAACTCCTTAAGGTCCTTGCTACAACTACAGGAAATAAATACACAACCAGCAATTGACCACCTTCTGCTCACTAAACAAGCACGTTTTATGAATCACAGTGGTTTCCCACAACAAGACATGACCCTTTACATATTTTTTTTATTGCTGCATATATGTTAAGCTCCATAGTAGAATCAAAATATGGAATTAAAATCCTTGATAAACAAAAAATAACATTCAGTTTTGTCGTAGCATTCACAGACATAATGAAGTTTTCTCACGGTAGATATGACAAGTAAAATTTCTTTGTACAAAAATGCTAAAACAGAACTGTATAAAGTGCTCATATTTTTATACCCAAATAAATACATAAAATTGAATTTGAGTACATTTTCGTGGCTGCGTTCTAGTAAATGAAAAAAAAAATGACACACAAGACAAAGTAACGCATAATGCCTGTGTAAAACATGCAACACATTTGTGTAAAGCGGGAAATGATGTAAAAGATAAGGCCCCCAGCCCAGTGAAATGAAAAAAAAAATAAAAATGCCGCCTGCATTTTCCAACAGGGGCAACTCTAGTAAAAGCGTCACATAGAGGTGGGGGTATCGCACGAATCTTGCGTAGTAATTGGGTATGGTTTGGGAATGCTTAATTGTTATTTCACTTTTATTATTCTTACTTATTGAATGAAGGAGAAACGTTGCCTTCAATGTAAAGCGAAAGCCGAGTAAAGACGCCCTTGACAGAATTCCTAATGCATGATCTAGTATGTGCAGCGCAAAGAGTCGTTTCTTTTTAACTAGCAGACACTAACTGCATTGGCCTTGTGAGGCAAGAGAGGGGGATGAAAGCGACCAGTTTTGCAGGTGCCTTCCTGTGCCAGATGTACGTCTCAGCACAACCCGCGAGCATGCGCAGTGGCGGTGTGGATGGTGTCGCCGCCGACGCTGATGTGCGACTAAGAAATGCTCCGCATAAAAAAAAAGGCTGTTGAGTGCACATTCGTGGCCTTACATTGCCACTATGAGGTCAAAGCGAAATTTTCAATGAGGAACTCTCGCCTACCTTGTGGTACTCCGGTTTGCATCCACGAAAAGGCAAATTCTAGATTGGCTAAGATATTTGCCCTGTGACTCTCCCTTCTCAAGTCAGTTTTCAACGGGAACAGTTACAAGTGGATTTCAAGCAGTCACTCGGATAACAATCCATCTGGCTCTTTCCCGATACAATATAAAATGTTTGAAAAAAAAAACTATGATATAATAAAACATTAAAAATAATATCAATGGCAGCCATGCAAACCGCAGCAGACAGTTTATCTGCTCTGTGAGCGTTACGCAATGCTTAGGTTTGAGAAAATTGAAACTTGGCATTTTCCCGCTAGTGGAAAGTTCCATGAAGCTCCGTTTATATGCTGGTTAACCAAAACAAGCGTTTCTAAGATGTCACACCTGCAACTCTTGAAAACTGTATAACAAAAGGGGAAAAAAATTTTTTCAGAGCCCCTTTAAGTATTTGGCATTACGGTCAGTTTTCAACAAGGGAACGGGGTAAACCCCATACCCACCATGTATTTTAGGCAAAGTTTATGTACTTTTTTTCTCTGTAAACATGAGAGCTTTAGTAATTATTTTCATCTTTGTGACCATGAATCATCGCTTCTTACTAAAGCAGATCTAGTACTGAAAATTGTAATGTTCCTGTTTTGTAAAGTCTTTACTTCAGGTACCTAATTATCACTCGAAAATAGCTATTAGACGTGCTGCAGAAGAGCACTTTCTCACACAACAATAATTCTGCTTCAGCATATTCCCTATTATGTTATCTAAATACTGGCCGAAATCTATGATTCTAGATATTGTGGTTGCATAGAGAAAGGAACATAAGTACAAAAAAAAAAGCATGTTTTGAGATAATCGCATTTAACGTTGAAACCCTACATTATTTCAAAAGTACAACAAGATGACAGCAAATTGACGGACCTGTTCAATAGGCACCAGCTAGATGCTCATCATCAATATCATTTTTTATTTTGT